TCACAAGGAAAAATTAGGGTGCCCTGGAATGAAAGTTTGGGCTGATGGAGGAAAGCCAGGGTGTCAATCTAACAAATCATAAATCATAAACTCGGTTCTCCTGTTTCTAAAAGATTTGCTCTGAAGTGTCATCCGTCAATTTGGGAAGAGATTTTGACACCTGAAAGAAATTCAAGGTGAGCGCATCATTTCCACATGTCGAGGTCTGCGTGACATTAATCACCTCCTTGAGACACAGCTCTAATTTACAATATTTAAAACTTGTCCCGTAATGCGTTTATTGTCCAGAATCTCCCAGTTGGTCCTATCAAGCTCACTCAGAGATAAACCTGAATTTCTCTTCAAGGTTATCAATCTTAGGGATGGTCGAAATCTAAAACGGGAGAATTATATGCTGCTTTACATCATCCTAACTGTCGTATATCTCATACAAACAAAGGACGCGAGTCGGTGACTTGGTTCAGCTCATTTATTGGGGTAAAAACACAAGTGGGGAAAGTGGGGAAGAAGCGCGGCTTAAAAGCACTTTCTGCCGAGTGCTGTGGCCAATCGGGTCGTTTTGAATCGCCCGCGATCGGCTCAGCCAATCGCGGTCGATTCCAAACGACCAATCAGTGCTGCGCACTCAGCCAATCCGGTGGCCGTGCGCTTTAGCCAATCCGGGCTGCCGGATTTCGAGTATGCAAATGTCTGTACAGAACACTAACCCTGAAGGGGATTATTGTGAGGACATCGCTAAACTAAAAGAAAGAAGGATAGACTTGCCTGTGTAATGATATCAGGGGTGGGCTTCAAAAATTTTAGCAAAGTGTTCTCTGCCTGGTTGCTTGGTGGGCGTAGCCAGGGTGGGTGTGGCCTAATCAGCCTCCTGCGCCATAGCGGAGGAGGTGTTTTTGCCCTCCCAGGCTCCGGAGGCTTTCCTCGTGCCTCCGGGAGGGTGAAAACTGCTTCCCCGGACTCTGGAGGCTCTATGGAAGCCAAAAACAGGCCCATTTCGAGCCTTCCTAAACTTCCGAGAGGCCTGTTTTTTGCCCTCCTCAAGCCTCCGCGCACACCCTACACCAGGGGTGGGCAAACTACGGCCCGGGGGCCACATCCGGCCCGTTGGTCTTTTTAATCCGGCCCGCTGAAGATTGGTACAGAATTAAGGTTTGATGTGAATGATTGAATGATTGCATTCATTTGATTTTGACTTGTAATGACAGGCATTTCGACACCAGGTGGAGGCCCGCCTGTCAAATTTTAAAAGTCAATGAGGCCCCTGAGCCAAAAAGTTTGCCCAACCCTGCCCTACACTTACCTGCATCCAAAATTGGCCACGTGGGGACTCCTGGGAGGGGAGGGGCAGAGTGGGCGGGGCCAGCCAGGAGTGGGATCTGGGGATTCTGCGAACTGCACAGAATCTTAGCTAGATGCTCTCCCGGACCCTTGCGAGCCCGCAGCAGCCCTCCCTTGGATGATCTCAGAAAGCCAAATCTCAAGAAATCTGAAAAAAGATCTCTTTTACAACCCCCCCCCCAAAATGAGAGGAAACGTGAACGTTTCGTGACGAAAATGATCGTATTTTTTCCAGCTCTCTTTAGCTTAGTTCTATTTCTCATTCTGTTGTTTTTCTTTTTTTAAATGCATCGATTTGTCCTCCTGTTTGACGAAGTTTCTTACGAAGGATTTATTGAACTAACTTTAGCCTTACTCTCTCCTAATCACCCTTCCCCACCCCTCTTCTATCGATCCTTTATCGTTTCCTTCCGTTCGATTGTGTCCGATTCTCAAAAGCTATCTGGAAAAGTCCCTGTGCTTTTCTTGGGAAGGTTTTTGCAGATTGGTTTGCCATTGCCTCCTTCTTAGGGCTCAGAGGAAGTGACTGGCCCAAGGTCACCCAGCTGATAGCCACTGATAGCCACTAGAGTTACTGGTCTCCTTGTTTCGAACCTGATGCCTTCACCAAACTAGCTCTCACTTTACCTATCCTTTTGCCTATTTTTATACTTAGATGGTAATTGCAGTTCCAACATCCAGTTACACTTTAGATCCATCCTCCTTACCTAGCTGATACACCTATGTTCAATTCAACACCTACACATACATTGCTGGAGCTTAATTCAACAGCAGACTTTCTTGACTACAAATGATGACAGAGTAGATGGACCGAGTGGGTGGATTGCACATACAAACATTGTGGTACACAAAGCACATCCGATGACAGAGACCTATGTAGGGTGTGGTCCAAAATACTCAGATGTTTCTCCTGTTTGTTTATGTACAACACAAAGAAAAATGCAGATGAAACTTCAATTACACCCATGGTTGACTTATATGCTAAGGGCTCCATTGGCTGGCTTTATGATTAACCGGCCAAGTATCTCAGCTGCTGTGCATATTTATTTTGGATAAATACTTTATTTCATTAGTTTTATTGTATTGCTTTAAAATAAAAACTATTTAAAATAAAATATATATTTTTTTGTTTTAAATAGAGTATATGTATTTTCAAATGAATGAATGTTGTATTATGACTTTATTCTGGAGTGGGCAGTGCTCCATAAAAATAAATAAATAAACAAAAACAACAAACAAATAACTGTGATCTATTCTGGAACGGGCAGCATCCTACTGAAGAGAGAGAGAGAGAGAGAGAGAGAGAGAGAGAGAGAGGGAGAATGAATCCGTTCTGGAATTGACACACTCCATTGAATGAATGAATGAATGAATGTTGTATTGTGACTTTATTCTGGAATGGGCAGCGCTCCATTGAAAAATAAATAAAGTATTGTGTTCTATTCTGGAATGGGCAACATCCTATTGAAATGATAGATAGATGGATGGATGGATGGATGGATGGATAGATAGATAGATAGATAGATAGATAGATAGATAGATAGATAGAT